TTGAGCTGTTGTTCAGCATCTTAGCTGTGGAGGGCAGTGTCACTGGCCCTCATATGTGGGATCCGAACCAGGGCCCTCTGGTGTCCCAAGCCAGCTGTTAACCAATGCGCCACTCGGCCGGCCCCCGTTTTCAATTTCTTATGGTTATTACCTAGTTCTAATATCCTAGCATTTGATGAATAAGTCTACATAATCTATTTTAGCTAGATATTTCCTTACTTTAGAGCCAGATTTCTAATCGGTTTTCAAATAGCTGCCTTCTCATCCCATCTATCAGTTTAGTTTTTCTCTAGCTTCTCTTGAGGATTGGTGTATTAACTTTCTATTGCTACTATAACAAGTTACCGCAAACTTTGTGGCTTAATAAAACAAAATTTGATTATCTCCTACTTCTGTAGGTCACCAGTTTGGTATGGGTCTCTCTGGGCCAAAATCAACATGTCAGCAGCCTGTGCTCTTTTTTGTGGGCTCTGGGGCAGGAGAATGCATTTCCTGGCGCATCTTTCTCACATTGCATCTCTTGGACCCTTGGACTCTCTCTTCTGCCTCCTCTTCTTAAACTTTCTGTTTTTTGTTGGCATATAATTGACAGATAATACTAGATTAGTTTCAGGTGTACAGCACAAAGATTGAATAATTGCATATATTGTGAAATGATCACCCTGTTAAGTCTAGTTAACATACATCACTATACATAGAAAATTGATATGTCTTATGATGAGAAAACTTTTAAGATTTACTCTTAGCAACTTTCAAACATGCGATACAGTATTATTAGCTATAGTCACCATGTTATACCGTAACCCCATGCCTTATTTATTTTATAACTGGAAGTTTGTGCCTTTTGACTCCCTTCACCCATTTTGCCACCCCCTTGACCTCTGGCAATTACCAAAACTGTTTTCTGTATCTATGAGCTTATTTTTCTTTTTTGTTTGTTTGTGTTTTTAAGATTCCACATATAAGTGAGATCATACAGTATTTGTCTTTCTCAGTCTGACTTACAAGGTCCATCCCTGTTGTCACAGATGGCAGGATTTCATTCTTTTTTGTGGCTGAGTAGTATCCTGTTATATATATAAAACAGAATACACACACACACACACACACACACACACACACACCAGATTTTCTTTATCCATTCATCTATTGATGGGCATGTAGGTTGTTCCCATATCTTGACATGGGATGCGTCTATCTTTGAGTTAGTGTTTTTGTTTTCTTCATTCAATACCCAAAAGTGGAATTGCTGGATCGTGTGGTAGTTCTGTTTTTTATTTTGATGGGACCCTCCATACTGCTTTCCGTAGTGGCTGTACCAGTTTACATTCCCACCAACGGTGCACGTTGGTTCCCTCTCTCCCATCCTCGCCAACACTTCTCTCCCTGATAATAGCCATTCTAGCAGCATGAGTTGAGGTGATATCTCATTGAGGTTTTGATGTGCATTTCCCTGACGATGACTGATGTTGAACATTTTTGCAAGTACCTTTTGACCATCTGTATATCTTCTTTTGGAAAACTGTCTATTCAGATATTTTGCCCATTTTATATCGGATTGTTGGGGGATTGTTGAGTTGTATGATTCTTTATATATTATATGGTAATTAATTTCTTATCACATATATGATTTACAAATATATTTTTCCATTCAGTAAGTTAATTTTTCATTTTGTTGATAATTTCTTTTGCTGTGCAAAAGTTTTTTAGCTTGATGTAGTTCTACTTGTTTATTTTTGCATTTACAGCCTTTGCTTTTGATGTCAAGTCCAATGATCATCTCCAAGATTGATGTCAGGGAGCTTACCATCTATTCTTTCTTCTAGGACTTTTATGGTCTCAGGTCTTACATTCAAGTCTATCATCCATTTTGAATTAATTTTTGTGTATGGTATAAGATAGCAGTCTACTTTCATTCTTATGTATGTGGGTGCCCAGTTTTCCCAACACCATTTATTGAAGGGCTGTCCTCCATTGTATATTTTTGGCTCCTTTGTCATAAATTAATTGACCATATATGTGTGGGTTTATTTCTGGGCTCTCTGTTCTGTTTCATTGACCTGTGTGTCTATTTTTATGCCAATACCATACTATTTTGATTACTATAGTTTTGTAATACAGTTTGAAATCAGGGCACATGGTGCCTCCAACTTTGTTCTTTCTCAGGATTGCTTTGTCCGTTCAGGGTCTTTTGTAGTTCCATAGAAATTTTAGGATTATTTGTTCTATTGCTATGAAAAATGCCATTGGAGTTTTGCCAGGGATTGCATTGAATCTTCAGATTGCTTTGGTTAGTATGACTATTTTAACAACGTTAATTCTTTCAGTTCCATTTATTTGCCGCCTTCAGTGTTTTTCATCAATGTCTTATCATTTTCAGTGTACAAGTCTTTCCCCTCCTTGGTTAAATTTATTCCTAGGTGTTTTATTTTTCCTGATGCAATTTGAAATGGAATTGTTTTCTTAATTTCCCTGATAGTTTATTAGTGTATAGAAATGTAACAGATTTTTCTGTATTGATTTTGTATCCTGCAACTTTATTCATTTACTATTTCTAACAATTTTTAGGGGGAGAATTTAGGGTTCTCTATAATATGTCATCTGCAAATAGTGACAGATATACTTATTTCTTCTTGATTTGGATGCCTTTTCTTTCTTTCTTTCCCCCCAATTGCTCTGACTAGGACTTCCAGTACTATGTTGAATAAAAGTGGTGAAAGTGGACATAGTGGACATGCTTGTCTTGTTCTTCATCTTAGAGAGAAAGCTTTCAGCTTTCACCATTGAGTATGATGTTAGCTGTGGGCTTGTCATATGTTTTATTATGTTGAGGTATGTTCCCCGTATACCCTTTTTTTTTTTTT